CAGCTTCTGGTTTAGGAGAGTGATCTGGACCCAACCACTGAAGTTTGACAACGAGCTTTGTGTTACTATGCACTTCAACCAGGTACACTCCATTCCGGTACGGTCACTTGTGTCTGCTGCTTGGGCAGGTGCTCTGAATGTCGGCCCATGTTCCTCCAGGCGTTTCCCGACTACCTAAAGGGCCTGCTCAGCGTCCTGCCGCAGGGGAAGCTCGGCGAGCAGCAATGTCAACAAATGTGCAAACTGGCTGCACTGCAACACCGTGCCAAGGACAGCATCTACCTGCCCACCATGTAGGTCTAAGGTGGCATATTACTCTTTGATGACATGTAAACCTTCTTGATCCACAGTCTACAAAGCATCTAAGTGCCACCTAAAGTCATTTTACAAAAAACTTTTTAAAAAAACTACATTTCCCATAATTTTTCCATGGCTCTATCCATATTTCATTTATTGACCTTAATATCTTATATTAAAAATTACATTATACTAACATACTATAAACTCTTATAAACTGGAGTTAGTCTGGATAATAGTCTGTCATGAGATCTAACTTTGGATTTGTTTTTTTCCACATTTGTCCAACCTTTGCAGCCGTGACGTTCAGGACTGCGTTCCAGCTAAGTTCTTTGGGTTGCGGCGCCCACAGCAGTGGTTAAACATGGTGACTCAACACATGCAGCAGGTCCAAGCCCTGAGCCCTCACCAGGCCAGAGCACAATTCCTAGGTAGGAGCAATATTTATTTTTTAAGTGCAGTATGTTTAAATGCACTTACAGCAATCGCCCCTGCCAGAAAGCTAAGTCACTGAGAGTATAAATGTATATTCTTGGGAGTCCACTGATAAACTCTCTTCTCCTACCATTTCTCTCTTTTTTTGATCTCCTTTTTTAGACTCTGTTTTGCATATAGGACACTTGCAATGCTGGTAAACGTATTTGATATGTCTTCCTTTCTCCTCCGCTTGACTTTGCCTGTATATCCAGGGCTGGTGAGCGCTTTCTCCATGTTCGGGTCATCCTTCTTCTTCATCCAGAGCAGCAGCGACAGCTCCATTGCAACACCATGCATACTGGCTGTCAGTCAGAATGGCCTAAACTTCCTGAACAAGGACTCTCTGGTAAGACTGACCTCTGACCTCTGACCTCTCACCTGCCTATGAGGCAATGTTCTTACATGGAAAACCATCAATATATAGGTCATTGCCATGGTTTGGTGTCAGGTTACATGTTGCCTGGGCAGAAGTTTGTCGTTAACACAAACATAAAACTAAAATGCTAGAGTCATGTTAAAAGTTAAAATAATCTTCAACTCATGCATAAAACTTTAAATGCGAACAGTAATGACCTGACATGTAATGGCTACCTAGTTCAGATGTGTGGGACCCGCAGTATGTAAAAACACAAGCGGTCAGAGCACATTTATCTTAGCTGTGTGTGGTGCAGTTGTCCAAGTCTAATGTGGAGTCTTAAACGGCTTAAACCGGATTTGGGGAAAAAGTTATTTGTCTATCCCTTTGTAGGAGCTGATGGTGAAATTCCCCCTGAAGGAGGTGCAGTCCACGCGCACACAGAGGCCTACAGCTGGCTCCAGCTTCCCCTACGTGGAGGTCACACTGGGAGACCTGATGTCCCAGCACATCACGCAGCTTCAGCTGGAGCAGGTAGCCCTGGGAACACTGACACGACGCCACCGTCCCATTTCTCTCCCATTATCCAGCTGCCCTGGCTCATAGCCACACACCGCCTCTGCTCTGCAAGCAATTCTTTTTATCTACAATGACACAAATATGCCTCCTTTCTACAAACTGAACCAGCATAAAGCAGTAATATACTTATCCGTGCTGGTTATTCTAGTTTAGCTACAGTATATTGATAGTACATTTTCCATTGTATGAATTTTAAAAAAGCAAGCGTGCATTTCTGGCATTACTTGTGGATTCATTTTGTCTTATGCTAAAGACATTGTAATGATACTGGAACATGGAACACAGAAATTAAAATGAAAACAGAGGAGACCAAAGGCAAACCAATACAGGGAAAGTGGACCTTAAGACTCAGAGGTGTGTGGCTCAGTGGCTCAGGAGTCTGTCCCCCTCATCAGAAGGTCATTAGTTCAAATCCTGTAGTCGGTCGAGTGTTTTCACTTCCGGCCCCATAACCCTAGTTACCCCACGACCTGCACTCTAAATTGTATCTCACTTCGGATAAATATTTTTGCTAATAAATGTATATTAGTTTGCGACAGTGTCTGAGAGAAACGTGCCCATGTCGGCAGGGCCTGGAGCTCTGTCGTGTCGTCGCCATGCATGTGGAGACGATGCTTTCAGCGCGAGAGAAGCGGCTGACCCTGCCCCCAAGCGAAATCACCTTACTCTGATGGGGCTTTACTGAGAAAACACTGTGGCCTGCAAGGTACAGAGAAACATTCACATACTCACATCAATTACTCTACCTACCTCTTTGTGAATAGATTTTACCTTAAACCTACTTAATGGAGAGCTAAGGCAAGCTAAGCGTAAATCTACTGAAATATATATACATTATACATGGATGTAATTAAAATCATTCAGGCCTACTGTTTATTCTGTAAAAAACTGATTAGGTCTTTGAAAAGTATTTGATGCTTCTACGCTTCTAGATAGATATGACATGTTTTTTGTTGATTTCAGAATATCTGTTGTACAAAACGTGTACATATATTTTATGGTTGTATTTATAGTTTTTTTCTGCTCTGAAGATCTCCACAACCCTTGAAATAAATGTTTTATATAACATTAAATATTTATACACAAAAAACTGCTTTGTCTATTTAATCTATGTTGTGTATACGGTGCAGTTGGTCAATACCAATGAAAAGCATTTGAACAAAATCACCAAGCACAATGTGTCACGTACATGCTTATGAACTGTAAAATATCAAAGCCGGCATTTAAATGTCCCCTGACCAAAATATCTCATGACCACCTTCTCCGTATCTCCTGTCTCCTGAAGAACTTGCACAACCTATATTTAATCTAGGGTCTGCAAGCAGCCTGCAAATTACCCTCAATTATCTGCTAGATTTAATCTTGGAATTGAAAACACTCTATTACTTTAGCAGATGACCAGCAGAAACCCAGTTTGGATGCAAATGATAAGGAGCTCAGACATGGAGAGTTGGAAGGGCTTGGTAGGTCAACCTAAGAAATCACATAGAGAGTGAGTGCAAATAGTGAGGAAGTCTCCCCTGAAAACACTGTACACCCATATAAATTGATAAAACTGGTGCATGTGTTCTAAGGAGCTAAGCAGGGATATCTAGGTCACCATGAAGAGTGGCTTCCAATGACTCAGCAGAGTGAAGGTCTAAAAGTGGTGCTTGGCGTTCATCTACAACAGCTGTGTTGATACTCACTCAGATCAATGAGGCTGCCATCCGCAGAAGCTCGGAAGGAACCTGCCAGCCGCAAATAAACAGCAAGAAAGGAAACATTCATCTGCCTTTCTAAAATCATCAAGATAATAGTGCTTAAGCTTGTTTTAAATGCACCACGCTAAGGAAAGGTTTGCAGTTCAGTTTTCAAATGCGAATTCATAGAAAAAATAAACCTCCCTGGTCATTTACATCATACATGTAATGTTTCAGCATGCACTCTTAGAAAAAAAGTGTAAAATTTGTACCTTTGCTTGTCACTGGGGCTGTACCACCAAGAGTCAGCCAATCGTACCCTTAGCTGTAGTTAGTTGTACCTTTTAAGGTACAGAAATGGACTCTGAGGAACATTTCTGCACCATTGATGATACGGTAATGCTGTTTGTATCTTTGGCATGTTCCTCAGAGTCCATTTTTTACCTTAAAATGTACAATTACAAGGGTACAGCCCCAGGGACAAGCCAAGGTACACATTTTTACCCTTTTACTGAGAGTGTGTAAGTACTGTGGTTATCTATGAAATTATCAGTTCCTTTTCACTGCATGGGTACCAGGGTGATTCTTGTTAACTCATCAACTTCTCTGCCTCATTTGAATTGAATAGCTCTGTGATTTTTTTTCACATGGGCAATTGCGCAGATATATGTCAAATAAATACAATACACAAAGAGCTGCAACAAAATGCCTTAAAGATACGGCGCTGTACGTGATCAAAGGACGTGTGCCATTTGGATATAATAGATGACAGATGAGGGTAATTGCACTAGAGAGCAGCTAATCGGGACCACCATTACCAGAAAATCATTATGTCACACAAAGCAACTCATATAAACCACGTGTCTTTGGATTGTGAGAGGAAACCCATGCAAACACAGGAAGAACATGCAAATTGGCGCAAAAAATCAGGGCACGAATCAAACCCACATTCAGGTTTAACCGCCCGTGAATCATAGCGTCTGTATAGCCTCATATTCCAAGAAAACTAAATGATGACTGATATATTTTTATTACTGTGAATATTGAGAATTAACCGTGCTTATCTATAAGAATGGGATGTCAATGTGACAACTTGTCAAAACAATTATTTTGTATCGGACAAGAAAAAGCAAATACACAATGGTACGAAAATCAAATCGTAGCTCATAATATTTAATAACCTTCCACAAATATTTGCTCCTATGAAAAGGCAACAGGTACATCACACGAACCCCTTCACCCGTTCCTAAATGGTACACATTTTTACAAATTGGTACAGTTTGACGCAGGCACATCAGAAGACCCTGTAACTTTCGGAAACTGGAATAAATAAGGTCACTGAAATGTCAAAGTTATATTTTCACGCCAGCGGTCAGTGTTTTTTTCTGTAGATTTTCCAATCACAGTCATCTGCAGGCGGGCTGAAATTGCACGGTTAGTCTGCGCCGTCCTGGAAGGCTGCCGAGTCATTTATAAAGCAGATTACTGCTTCACGGATGGGTGGCAGGTGGACGTCACTTGTATGTGTGGCGCGTTTAGTTAACTAGGGCGCTTTATCAATGGGGGGAGGCGCGTGACGTTCTTTTCCACTCCCTGGGATGTAGAATCCACGATTCCACGTTCTGCACGCGCGAAGAGCGGCGCATGCGCTCTCCCCAGTCAGAACGCGAGGGGGGAGTTATCAGTCAGATTCGCTCCCCATTTGCCTCCTTCTGTGCTCCCGCTGAGGGGCAGCAGCTCGCATTTCTGGCCCCCGGCGGATCCCGGAGCGCCTTTGTCTCTTTTTATACTTTGCGCAGTTAGGCCGAGTCGCCGCGCAGCCTCGCTGGGTCACTGAGCTTGCATACTCGCGGCACCCATGCGTTCGGCGCCGCTAGCATTAGCCACGTAGCCTGCCGGTCGCGGTTTGGCTCAGTACTGCCACCGAGTGACCGCCCCCTTCTCCGGGCCGGGGAGCTCGCCGGATTAGGGCTCCTTATCCACGCGTATCTCTCTCCTTTATGCATAAGCAGACTAGGTTAGCGGCGCGGCTACTTCGCTCAGAGGCTAAGTGGCGGCTAATAGCTTTCCGGTGACGGACACTTCGACACCGCAGGCGGACGCGGCGGCGCGCTTCAGTGGGTTTGAGACATGGGGGCAGCCCGTCATTTTGAGGGCAGCGCCTGACGAGTCAGCCCTGTGGGCGAGAGGAGACATGGCGGCGAGCGGCTTTACTGACCTCAGGGAGAAGCTGAGGTCCATGACCCCGCACGGTGACGATCACAGGAAGCCGCAGCGCGGCGGCGCGCTGAAGCGCCGGTACCACGACTCGGAGGAGGATCTGAGCGACCCGGAGGAGCGCCGGGAGACGGAGGCCCGCAGGGTGAAGAGCAGCATCGAGCAGCTGAGCATCTTCAGCCCGGAGGAGTGTGCGCTCATCGAGGCCAAGATAGACGAAGTGGTGTCCAGTGGCGAGAAGGGTCTCTACCGGGAGCACACGGTGGACAGGGCGCCTCTCCGGAATAAGTACTTCTTCGGGGAGGGCTACACGTACGGCTCCCAGCTGGAGAAGCGGGGCCCGGGTCAGGAGCGTCTGTACTCTAAGGGGGAGGTGGACGAAATCCCCGACTGGGTCCATGAGCTGATTATAAAGAAGCTGGTGGCCAGCGGTGTGATCCCGGCCGATTTCGTCAACAGCGCCGTGATCAACGACTACCAGCCGGGCGGCTGTATCGTGTCCCATGTGGACCCCATCCACATCTTCGAGCGGCCCATCGTGTCCGTGTCCTTCTTCAGCGACTCAGCCCTGTGCTTCGGCTGCAAGTTCCAGTTCAAGCCCATACGGGTGTCGGAGCCGGTGCTGTTTCTGCCCGTCAAGCGCGGCAGTGTCACCGTGCTCAGGTGCGGGGCCGTGGGGCATGCTGGAGGGCAGACTATGATAGGGAGACGTTTTCTCAGGATCTGATTTTAAAAATGGAGGCATTTTGCGTTAATCTAATCCTCACCAACATTATAGTATTGTTAATGACTTTTTCGGAAATTACGTACTTGTCTTACAAATCACCAAGTCACTGCAAACTAACATTTTGATTCACACGCGAAAGTTCGTTTTGAGTGAGCCCTGCTCCTCTGGATTTGAGTGGGCGGTGATCGCTCGCTCTTTTACTGTCTTACATGCAAGGTTCAGTCCTTGCATGGCTTGAAATGTATGCCTTTCTGCAAATCTGGCTTTCTAAGAGTATTCTCCATATCAGATTCAAGTACAGATTTATATAAGGCTGTACTATTTGAATGCCAGTAATATGGGATTGGGTGCATCCTTAATAATTTTTAGGTAATCTTGTAATTGTTGTCTATGTATTTTGAGGTTTAATTTTATTATTTGCAAATTTTTATACGTAGCCTAGGCCTCTTCATGAATGTACCCCTAACTCAATTAACATGACATCCGTTTACGTCAATATGCCCCCAGTGACCGTGCTCCTTCTGTGAGTAACTTTCCTGATGCCAGTGTGTGTGTGTTAAGACCTGGCTGTGGATTTTCCTTGCAGTGGTTATGCTGCTGATGAAATCACCCACTGTATACGACCACAAGATATCAAGGCGAGAAGAGCTGTGATCATCCTCAGAAAGTGAGTGTGACTGAAGGCAAAGGCTGCACGCAATGCAGTTTGTCTGGGCTTGAAAAGCTGATGTTTTAGGTTGGCTCTGAGGTATTTTCTATTTTTCTTGTTAGATTAAATGGAAATCTGCGTAAAATGTGAATTGCAACACTGCTGTTGTTAATGGCACATCAACAATTGTGTTCTATTAGTTTTATCTGTTGAACATTAGTTTTTCACCATATTTGCATGAAGAACTTTTACCAGATGGAAGAGTGATTATTTTTTTTTTTATTTTTTTTTTTTTAACTTTTTAAGGACAAGACCCGATGCCCCACGTCTGGAGACAAATCCGCGAAGTAATGCAGCCGTTCCCTTCTCTTTGGGAAGACCGCAGATCCTGAAACCAAAGAGGTCTCACCGGAAGGCTGATCCTGACGCAGCCCACAGGTAAGACCTCCTGCCCGCTGCTTCAGATCCTGCAGATGCCACATGTGACCCCTGCATGCCATCGTGTGAAAGGAGGGTTTTTTTCCGGATAGGCCGCCGTGCTGTCTGTGTGCTGCTGGTGCCCCCTGTGTGGAGCATGGACTACGGTCCTTGAGGGATTAATCCATTTTCAAAGTGCAGAATAACTTTGCAGAGGTGTCTCAGTTTGTTCCACTTTACCCCCAGTGTTAATATTGACTTGCTTACTTAATACCAGCTGACTTAACCATCTGATCACTCAGTGTTTGAAATGAATAGTTGATGTAAAATTTGGATTTTCAAAATGGTTTAAATAAAAGTTGATGGACCAAGCTTTGTCAAGTAATTGGATCTTTTTTCCCCTCTTTCACTTTCATTTCTGTTTACTCAGAATGATCCCTGAAGTTCTTATATTCTCAGGCTATAGATTTCTATTTTACCGTTCAGCTCTACAGATATCAGTAAAATAATCCCCAGTGTCTCAATATTAGTGTTGATCATGCAGGTACATGCAGTACCCCCCAGCTCCTGGGGTACTGCATGTTGGCTGACTCTGTGCTGTAACCCCTCCACCCCCCCAAACTATGGAGAGCAAGATGGGGTAGACGAAGAGACAAATTCCAGTGTAACTGTACTCGTGCAAATGGTCCGTGAAAGGTTTAACATTTACTGGTCTCACTGGTTCAGTGGGGTTCTTTGGAGCATATTGCAGATTGAATCTAGGCCCTGTCGTTCTGTGACTGCGCAGAACGTGCCAGCAGTGGAATTAATTGGCTTAGTTCCCCTGAGGGACAGAATAGGATGAGCCAGGATGTACCCTGTGCCTCCGCAAAGCGCCGGCAGTTTTCTGTGAGCCGCTGGCCACCATTGGGGGAGGATGTGTCACTGCTATTGGAGTCTAGCCCTCCTGCACTGTGCCAGGTGATTAATATCGTGAAAGGGGGGGGGGCGGGGGGAGGCGTGTGTGGATGAGAATGACAGGAGCCTGCTAGGTCTCGCTGAAATACAGAAGAATGAAAAGGGAGCTGAATGATTAGTGATCATGAGAAGAAATTAGTGGCTGGTGACAACCTTGTTTTACTTTTTTCTCCCTCCAGGCCACGTATATTAGAAATGGACAAAGAAGAAAACCGACGCTCTGTGATTCTTCCTAGGTGGAGGCAGAGGAGTAGCTCAAGCTCCGAGAACTTGCGGAGACGCTCCCACGAGTCTGCGGCCGGCTACAGCGGACCCGACGACAGCATGGATTCGCCCCGAAGGGTTAAAATGAGGCGACACTGAGAGCTTTCGTATCAGTCCGACATTGCCGTCCTCCCGGAGACTCCTTAGACGTTCATTTGCATGCAGGTTTAAAAATAGTCCGTGCAGACGTCACTTGCCAAGCAGGGTTCGTTTTTGGGTTTGCATCACCAGCAGGATTTGTGGGTGGGTTGGGATTGAGGCAGAGCCCATTCTGAGTGGTCAGTAAGTGACTTGGAAATTCAGTTGTCCTAGAATTGTTTTTGGTTCTTGTTTTGCTGCCCCTGCAGAGCAGCCTGTGAAACCCCTCTGGGTTTTCCCAACAGAAGGCATACATTTTATATACAGTTAGTTCCTGCATGGTTTTTTTTTTTTTGTGAACTGTGCAAGTGGGAAAAATCTTGACCATGAATAAGATTAGATTAAATGCTTTTGCTTTTTAGTTTTCTTCCCCCTTAGTTTACAGAGCTTTTGGCTATTAAATGCAGTATTTTCACATAAAGAATGATATATACTTTGGAATTATTGGAAAATGTCACCAGTGCTTAGGCTGTTTATTGTACATAGTAGCATCTTTTTGATGCACATACTGTTAAATCTGTTGAAATACAGCAGATAAAACTGCACAAAATGGAGCTTTACAGGTCACAGACGTGCTGTTTTAATAGATGCACCCCTGTCAGGGTATTCTTTTGGTCTTTAGGTTAAAAATGTTTTCCGTTTCATTTTTGGTTAAGTCAGTTGTTCTGATACATGTCAGAATTCAATCATAAGGATGTTAATTCTCAAATGAGGATATTTTCCAGGTATGATGCTCTCTGGATCAGCTGCTTTCTTGTATTTACTAGGAATGGATTGTGGTTCTGTTTCTCCGGTTCGAGGACACGGTTCAGGCCATGCTGTATTGGGAGTTGTGCCTTGAAAGCCTCTGTTTCCTGTGTATGTTAAAGCCATCACTTTTAATCTCTTTTTGATATTGCTTGTTTTTGGAAGAGTATATTTAATGGCGATAATGAGAGAAGCTTGCGATCTTGTGTACAAAATCCTAAGAAATATTACTTAAATGCTGTCATTTAAATGTGTATATATAGCGAGAGCTGTTTGCCTTAATGTTCATTATCCATTGAATTTTACGTCATCCCAAAGGGATCCTTCTGATGCCACTGCTGAGTAAACGCCCCCCCCCCTCACAAGAAACTCTTAGGAACAGATTTGTCATGGTCCTCACACATGTCGCCATATTTAGTTGTTTACAGTTAATGGCTCATTGTTCAGCATTTTCCCTTGATTTGAAATTGAGATGGTTGCATAATGAGATATATGATTAGTTCTTTGCAGGTAGGATTCAAAAATGTGTTCTTAGGAAATATGCATAGATAACAAAAAAGTACAGGCCTAAACAGAGTGCAAGAACTATTGCGAGATTAAATGTTTTTCTTTTTCCTTCAAAACCTTGTTTGTAACCGAATTTTATTGTTTGGACACGAGCCAGATCCATTTAATCTGGATGATTGTTTTAAAAAAAGCCCACAGCTGTGTCAGTACTGAGCAGAAAGAAGTGGTATGTTTGTGTTTTCAAAAGAAATTTTAAAAGGGTTTGTTTCATTTTGCGTGACCCCTGCCAAAACTTATCTTCCTCTCCCGATGTTTTTAATGATGAAGATGCAACTTTATGAAATGTATTTTTTTAAATTATGTTCAAATATTTGTGGTAAAACCATATTCATTGTAAGTCTTGGTCATGTTGCCCTGAAGGTCTATTTGATCATAATTTTTCATTTTGTAGCTGTTTGTGACAGCTCAATCTGTAGCAATGAATACAATTGTACTTCCCTTTCATTTTAGTGTTTTTGACTAATTTATAAATTGACCATTTCTACAGCTTTTCCCCTGTTTATATTCTCAGATAGTAACCATTTTCATATTTCATTTTCCTTGTACTGTAATGTGTTGCATTTGATTAAATAAAAGCAAAAAAGAGGTCACAGCTTTGTTTAAAAAAACATTTTGTAAACCAATTTCATGTTTCTGTTGCGAAAAATATATGGTAATAAATACTAATATTTAGTAAAATTCGAATAGAGCTTTATTTTTAAATGTGCATCGAGTACTGTATTCTCTAGGAGGAAGATGCGTAGTAATGCCTAGACAATATGCATTTGTTGACCATAAGGGGGCGTCAGATGCTTGTAAATTGCTGTCAACCACATTTCCTGGATAGCGTTCTTCACACTCCGCTTTGTTTTCGTTTGCACCTGCAGCGGTCTCCTGTCACGACGTTGTAGTCGTGCATGTTTAAAAACTGGAACAGATGTCGCCGTTTATTTAAAAATTCCAGATTATAAATAATTGAACTATTTTTTACTTTTTTTACATTTAAAAAGCCTAATTCAAATAGCCGGAAACGGCAGATGAATAAATTACATATCTAAGCTTTGCACACAATGCTGGGAAAGTGTTTCCTCTGTTTACAATACAGCACTAGCAAGACTTGACTGCTCAACCTATAGAAAATGTAACACCATTTTCTTAATAATTTTACTTTTTGAAACTAGGCATTAAATTTACAATCGCTGTTAGTGGTAAATCTCCACAAAAGTGTGTCCCTTATCGAAAGAGCTAGTGTGCCACCGCTAGTACGTGCATCCAGTCGTAATTAGCTTTCCATTTACGGCAAATACAATGGCATTTGGCTTGATTTGCAATTGCATGCATTAATTATATCTCTGTCAGTCTGTCTGCTCTCTTTATTACTAATTTACCATCAGTTTTTGGGTTTGACGCAATCTTAAAAAATTAGCTATTACGTAAACGTACTCATATCCCCAAAATCTTACCTGGTTTATAATTTTGTGATGTTCTGATTTGAGTAAATTTGTTTCTGAATATTGCATTATTTCAACTCCTTAAGAAGTAGTGAGTTGCAGTGATTTGTTTCTGCATTTTTTTTTAAAAATCAAACGACAGTAAGAAAAACGAAGACGTATTAACGTATTGAAAATTTTAATTATGTGCCAATATCGGGGCTGTGATTAAACGAATATTGTGACCAGAATTATATTTACCATGTCTTTAAGATACCATTCAGATACCTAGTAAAATAAGCAAAAATGAATTAGACTGACATATGGTTTTGTGTCAGGTTCCGGAAATCACGTAAATGCATCTCAATATTTTTCTTCGCGTTCTGTTATTTGTAGTATTATTTTTAATACACTGAGTTAGGTGTGATGTAAAGACTAACAGGGTTGTGAGCAGGTATGGTATCAGCTCAGCCATATATTATGCAGCACCATTTACTACAGCATTGTGGAGTACTTGGATCGCAGCGCGAGCACGCGCCACAGCCAAACCGCATACTACAACTGCATTATAGGGCGAGATTTTTATTTATTTATTTAATCTTTGGTGCATTGCAAATCAACAGACGTTTGCTCATGCTGTCTGGCTGCAATAGGCTAACTAAGATTTACGCATCTGCAACCATCAGTTGAAGATATACCAGCCAAAACGCAAATGAATCAAAGGAAAACTACAATTCCCGCAAGTCAGATTTGGCTTGAAACACTTCTTCGACTGTAATCACATTTATGACCTCCCCAATTTACTCTCCTATTTGATTGGATGACGGAAATTGCTGCCATAGCTTGATAGGCTGCGTATCATGTCAATCACAACCAAAACGTATTCAGCTTTCTGGCATGTAGTTGCAGCCTTTGAGAACTGGGTACAAAGAATCGAGAGCGTGTATGGGGAACTTATTGTTTACCATCAATATAAACCTAAAGGAATTTACAACTTTTGCAGTTTGCAACAACTCTTTTTCTTTTGTCGATACTCTTTGACCGGCATCAGGATGATGAAGTTTAGGTTCAGGAGGCAGGGCAATGATCCCCAGAGAGAGAAAATCAAGCAGGACCTTTTTGCATTTAATAAGGTACGGTAAATTGTGAGACAATTGCAGCAATGCCTGTTTATATCGCAGTCTTGCTTTGTGTAGCTTCAGTACAGTTGTTAACCTAACCATGTGCATTTTTCTGGCGGGTTTTTAAGAATATTTCTGTGTATTTCTCCCGTGCAACAAGATTGCATCAATTTAACCGGGGCTGTGATTAAACGTATCGGCTGGTCAGTCGCACAAGTGCAGCGGGGAACTTGCAAAATTAACTAATCGATTCTTTATCGCACATTACAAAAAGAAGGGGGGGGGTGAGAAAGGGAAAATAGCTGCTTTGGCGAGCTGGATCTTTTTCTTCGCTTTCATCTTAAAATGTCTTGCAAATAATGTACCGTTCTTTTATAGTCAATCGACATTTAAACAATTATATATAACATTTCGTATAACATGACAGTTTTCTGTATTGCGTTAGTTGTGGGGATCTTTCTTAAAAGTGAGATCCGAGGTTGGCCGGCTCTGGGAAGCGAACAGAAGTTCAGTAAAACCTGCGGCATTAAACCCAAACACTGGAGCTTCTCCCTCCCCAGCACCTTTCATTTCGGCGATCACCGTAACTAAGTTTTGTTTTGTTTTTTGTCGTCGAAGGGAACCGGTCAGTGTCTTTTTTTAAAGTAACTAGGCTATTTGGTGTTACGTATTTCTTTCTGTTTGTATTTTTTAGTTTCCAACACACTGCTTAATGCGGTGGTCACAGATCTGACCCCAATGAAATGGAGGGGGGATTAGTCATTAATCATCATTGCTGCCCCTTTATTTAGTAAAAAGCCTAGATAGTGACTTTTCAAGTGGAAATCCAATTTGTAATTTATAATGTGGCCTGTACTTTCATAGCAACATGTAAGTCACTCGTATTAAGGGTGCATTTTCTATTGAGCTTATTTGTTTTCCACATCCATCACGTCTTCCTATAGCTGTACACAGCCTGGTGTTGTTCGGCGCTGTCGTAAATTGGGGGTCGGTCCTCATTCAAAGTATTACTGCTCCATTGTCTTTCTGTTTGAGCTCTGTTGTGAAGGGATTCTTTTGGGAGAAATGACCCATTGTGAACCCCAGCGATGCCTCTGAGTGCTCACACTATGGCATGGTCATGCATTTATGACCAGTGCCACTCGGCAGGTGTCCTCCTCCATAAGTGTTGGGGGGTGTGTGTGTGTGTGTGTGTGTGTGGGTGTGTGGGTGGGGGGGGGGGGGGGGGGGGTGTGGGTGTGGGGGGGTTCAGGTATATATTACTTTGTGGGGGGCAAATGATGTCCCCACAATGTGATAGAAATCTGCTATTTTGATGTTGTATTTTCTGTCCCAGACCCAGGGAAATTCAACTTTATAAAAAATCTGTGACTGCATAATGCAGTCAAAAAACCAAAAATGCCGAAAGACTTGTATTTTGTTTGGTTACTTACGGTTAAGGTTAGGGCTGGGAAGGGTTAAAGTTGTCATTGTTGGGATTAGGGTTTTTTTTCCATAGAAATGAATGGAGAGTCCCCGCAAAGATATGTGTGTGTGTGTGTGTGGGTTTGTTTGTTGGGGGGTAGCTGTAGGTGGTGTGGCCTTTTTTCCAATGCAGTATCATTTGTGGTACGGAGGGTTCTGTTGGCACCCCCCGCATGCTCAACTTGCTAATGACTGATGACGTTAATATTTCATGGTGTCATTTGAGGATGTCCGACCTCTGTGGCTTTATGAGACGTGACAGAGTATGAATGGCTTTCACCTCCTTTTTCACATGAAGTGATGGGCTTTATCTAACAGCCCTAATATAGATTCCTACTGTAAGTCAATTTGTCTCCTCAAAGACTGAGAGCCTTTAATAGTGTAATGTGGTCTACCTGTGGTAGACATAAGGTGTGATGCATTTTTCTGTCAATGTAAGTAAATAGTTTGCTGTAATATAGCACTGATTGCAGAATGTCCTTCATTTGGTTATGTGCTGCCAATGTACCGCGTTTGTCCTGTTACAGACTGTCGAGCATGGCTTCCCCAATCAGCCCAGCGCTGTAGCCTACGACCCCAAGCTGCAACTCATGGCCATTGGGACGAAATCTGGAGCAGTGAAAGTGTATCCTTTCTCAAAGTGTATGCCTGATTCTGCACTGTCTCGCTGCCAGGAAGGTAAATCTTACCTAAACCTATTCTTGGATTGCCGCATCAGGATCGATTTAACATCAGTGCCAGATTACCTGTATGATCATTTGTGTCTAGTGTTTGGGTTTTTTTGACAGCTACAGCCCACCTTCATATAATCAATTCCTGTTAATACATCTCTGGATGTAGCCTGAAAGATTTAATCACAAGGTTGATATTTGTTATAGCGTTTAATGTCATGGTGATTTATCATGTCCATGTGGTTGGTGAGCTTGTCAGTGTCCCAGCTTGCAGTAGTGGTGTTATCATGATACTGTCTAAACTGGATAAGTGCTCGGAGAATGCAATGAACTTCAATCTAAAGTTTTAAATTACCCTCTTACCCCCCCATTACCAATGTAAAGTACCCCAGTGAGAGTTCAAGATCATTATGGGAATAATGTAAAACCCCACAGAGATGGGGGTGGCAGCGATTGCATGCGTGTGTCTCTCTGGGCCAGTCCCTTCTGCTGTAGTGGACCAAATCTTCCACAGTTCCATAGAAGATATTGTGGCGTCACTTCAGATGAGTGTCTGAAAGAACAGACTGACTGAAGCCTCCGTTCTGTTTTGCTATTTCAGTGGTTGATGTTTCCCACAATGTAGCATCTCTGGTGAAGGGGGTTCTTCTACAAAGCCAGTGTCTGACGTGTATATAGGCTGCCACCTCCGTCAGTGTGAGGAAGGAGCACAGCTCTGGGTTTGTGAGTGCAGAAAGGCTGGATCTCTCAATAGCGTGAACAGTTAGACTTGCCGTAAGGAGACTGGTACAGTGAGGATCTTGGTTCCATGCCAAACTGAGTGGGCGTGCATTGACTGCTTTTAGGCTTGTCGTATGTAGGGGGAGATGTTCTGTTAACTGTCTTCTGGAATATTATGCACTTCTATCTCTGATCTGCATGCATGCCTCTGCACATAGGTTGGAGGGATTGGTTCCTAGACCACTTATAGCTTATGGTGGACTTGCTGTTTTCTTGGTTTATGCGAATGCTCATTAGGCATGTTGAGCTATGTGGAAAAGGCCTTGAATTTTTATACTTTCTGCGTTGACTTCCTGCCAGCTTTGCCTCTGGCTGTCCTGCTGGGACATAAGTTTGTCAGCTGGAGTGCTTACAATGAATGACGCGATGCGTGGTGCCTCTGGCTTCCATGCCCCATGAAAAACACAAACTGTTAATTAGTACATGAAAAATGTAAACAGGGTCCAGGGTGTATGTTCGAGTGCTTTTTGGAAAAATTAGGACTGATGGAGCTCCTTTAAAAGCTTGAATTTGCTTTCTGCCTGCTGTCTTCTTAACAATATGTTTAACTTTTACAGTGAGGTTGTGGAGGAAGTCTGGGCAGGTGATATTTTCTGGGTCAATAAGTTAGAGAGTAGGAAAAATACAAACACATTTTCTGGTGGTCTAAATAAGCTGTATCTTTAGCTGTTTTACAGCTTTGTAAATGTCTCCAAACACCACCAAGTTTAAATAATGAGGAAAAGACAAATCAGTCAGTGTTTCAGTTCTGCCTGGCACTAATTCTCAGAAACTTTTTTTGTTCAGTTTTATTTGCTACCAAGTTGTTAATTTTGAAATGATCTAACTTAGGTTTTGTCGTGGTTCGAGTCAGGCAGGGTCGTTTCAGACGTCCCCAATATGAGGAAAAACCAAGGTCCCATAAACTGGGATTTTGATGAGCAATCTTCTCCTCTTGTTCATGATGAAAGCGTAGCTTGGCCTTTGTGTCACTCCAGTAGTGATTGAATGAGCTGCTGTCCCATCATTGAATTTAAAAGGTGCAGTTTCTGAACCAATGCTGATGGTCCCCCCCTCCAACCCCCAATTGTCTGTTTAAGGAATCGTAACTATTTGGCCATTTTTCCCAAAAGCTAGTCATTTTATATAGTTTTATATAAGGGCTAACAAGATTTATGAGGGGAGCTGGTTGGGTGAGCCCAGGATGTCATAGCCGGAGGTGTGATCTGTGTCTGCTAAAGTAGTTTGAAACGTTTGTCTGTCTTTCTTTTTCTTTTTTTCTTTGACTTGTTCCAGAATAAACCTGCAGGCTTGTAACAGAATATAGTGGGATGCTTGGGTTCGTGCAAGGCTTTGCATTCTCTAAAATGAGCAGTGGTTCCTTATTGACTGCATCTTTGGTTCACAGTCTTGATGACTTGTGTGGTCAGTCTGAGCTGAACCTGGTCCTGCAGCTGTTTTTAAAAATATCTCCTCTTCCCATCTAGCATTAAAACTGAGAAATGGTTATTTTTCTTTTCTCAAAACGGAGCATGTTGGAGTGATATTATGTGTTATAGAAGTGTACATGTTGGTTGCGAGGTTGTCGCTTGGTGTGTAGACCATGAGTCCTACCATTTCCCATCCCCCAAGGTTCTGGAAGTAGGCAGGGTTGGGTATTACTTGCAATTGGCAAGATGTGAAGTGTACAAGCAAGCTTGAGCTTTGCATCATGAAGGCCAGGCCAAAATATAAGACCGTATGTGTCAGGCTGTGTTTAAGTGAGGATGCTATGTAATACACATATATAATTTATTATTTTTTTGATGGTAGTTGAGTTGAGCCAGACTCTCCCCATGTCTCGGAATGTTCCCCTTCCACACGGGAATGTCCATTTGATAAGGCCTTCTGATTGGTGGATGAGACCCAAGTGGTTTAAGTTTAGTTTCAGCTGTTATTACATTTTTTTTGTTAGTTTTTTGGATACATAGTCTGATTTCTACTGTATGCATTTCATCATATTTCGAATTGGGTGTATTTGTGAGCTTGTTTGTGTCTGGGCGATCAAAAATCCATCTGTCACAGGTGGTTAAATTTCTCTCTAGCTTGCGGTAGATGTGATGAAAGAATTTGTGGTGCCTTGTCCAGAAAATCTGAATAATTCTGTCACACGCCTGCTGTAGATATCATGACTTGTTTGAAATGTCTATACTTTCTCATTTGACCCTGGAGGAAGAGTCTTTAGCTGGAAAGTACAATGGAACCAACAGATGAACAAGAGAAGCGACCATTATGAAACAGTGGAAGAGGCTATTGGGCTTAGCAGGGGGAGATGTAAAAGTACAATTGCAGTTGAGTGTTGTCATTGAGATGGTATGCTCCAAAAGCAGTGTGCTCCCCCGAGGAATGTATATTGTTTTGCTGTGAAGGCCCCCCCCCCTCTCCTCCCTTTCGTAATGAGAGGAAATTCCTGGGAAGCTTTCTGGTTGCGTCTGGTCTCAAAGACATCTTTCAGATGGTTTCCAAGGCAACTGCAGTAGCAGCTAGATAACTAGGACATGGTTAGTTGAGGGAGACACTAAAATGCATGATATTGTCATCGCTTGGCTGCTAAATGTGCAGCTGGCATTGGATGTTGATATTTGTAATTTTGTGCAACTTTTTGTTGGGATTTCACGGGTATGAAACGGGAGGGTTTTTTCCTCTTTTTTTTTTTTTTTTATGGCTTTTCCAAAACGTTGTGAACCCATAGCCTTGCACGAAATGTGTGGTGAGGCTAAGTTCTGCCATTAGTACCAGTTTTGGTGCAGGATTGATCAGCTGAAAGATGGAACAGTACTGTGTTTTGAGTCTGTCCCTGGCACGTGTGTCTGCACTTAGAGCTCACTGTCAAAGTGCGTAAACACACACATTTGTAGAAATGAAGAAATTTGTCACCAGTGTCTTTGTGTATTACAGTTCTGTGAAGTTGGACCTACTGAGTATGAGAATGCGGACCTTTGTTTACTCCAGTTAAAAGTATAGTTTTCTGTCCATTTTGCCTTCCTTTGTCTGGCGTTTCCTTGCAGTGTTTAAGCACCCTCAGCTCTGTGGTGTAGCCCACAAAACATCTAGAGAAACCCTGCTCTGTCCGCCAGTTCCACAAACCAGGTATGCTCAGTGCTGGTTAGTAAGCCTGAGAGTATGACTCGATAGTTACCAGCATGAAATCGACAAAACGTGACACAAAGGGAGACTTTTGTTCGGAAAAACTTATTGCGTAATATATAATTAACATTTTTCAGTTTGTTTGTGTTCTGGTTATTTACAATGTACGGGTTGTGCAAGACTATCCAAAAATTTTGGTATAATTACGTCAGAGTTCATGAACTATTTGCACGTTTGTCACTGATTTGAATTTGGATATTCTTCTGTTTATCGGAAGCTTTTGTTTTGACAGTGGTGTTGAAGTGGCTTTTAAGTGAAGTGCCTTTAGATTTTGACTGGGTTGTTGACTTCTGTGTTGAATGATGGTCTCGCTATGAAAGGTCTAACAGTTTCCCTTGATTGTACTGTGGCCCTTCCAGATTCGCTAATTTGACATTAGCGGATTTGGTTGTTCGGGAATTGGCTGTGAACAGTTAAATCGGAATATCTTGGAGCTTACCGGAAAACTCAGCCGACGCACAAGCCAAAAAATGTATAAACAATACTGAAAATGATCTGGATTTCACAACATTGTATATAAATATTTGTGTTATTTTTGGTTTAAGTGCATACTATAATTTTTGGTTTAAAAAAACTGGGATCTCTGCGTGTCGACTTGGGTACGCTGGGCATTGCTCGGGTCCTAGCCGTCTCTGCATCTCTCGCAGTGACTTCTAAACTTTTCAGTGGCAATAATTTTGCATCTTTAATAATGGGTCCGAAGCGTAGGGCTGCCAGTCCTCTGAAAGTGTTCCTAAGCAGAAGAAGACTGACACACATGGAAGTCTGTGAGTGCGCTACTGTTTGTTTAGAAATTGGTAATAAATTGACTTTTTGTGTCATCCTAGCAGTCTTATGGATTGAGGTTGGGGGGGGCGCCAAGTATTATTTGCAAATGTGAAGGGTGACTATATGCATAGGGTTTCAGGAAAAACGTTTCTTGGTATTTAATTTTGGCAAGAAGCTGAATATTTTAAGGCATTTGCTCCCAGCCGAGATGTCAGCATCACACTGACGTTCAGATCAAAGA